ATAGTGGGATTGACCGTTACATTATAACGCCCCCACGGCTGAAAGGGGCGAGCATGTTTGGTGGGACGGGGATTCGAACCCGCGACCCTCAGATTGCGAGTCGAGCGCCTTATCCACCTGGCCATGCCGGGCCGGCCAGAAAAAGATAAATGCAAAGCTATCACGTTAAACAAAGCATTTTAGATCATAATAACACATAAATATTCCAGTCGAACAATTCTAAAGAACTCTATACATATCACAAAAGAAATATTAAAAAAATTAATTAGGTCTATTCCACAGTTTCGTTCAAGGCTACATCAAGATTTTGTTCTTTTTGGAAAATTTCAAATGAATCTCTAAAATTATCAAAATATATTAGATTCTAAACTGAACAACACATCCAATCTTCTGATTTCTCAACAAAAAAAAAGTTATTAGAACAGAAAAGAAAATGTTTCTGGGTATTTAGATAAATCTAGATGAGGGATTTTCCACTTTTCTAGCACCCACCAGATTGTTTATTTGTAATTAAGCACACAAAGCTACACAATGGGCTATCTGTGCTCTGCCCACCACGGGTATCGAAACCCGGATTCTAGTATTGTAAGTCCGCAGATATACCGCTGTGCCACTAAGGGGTAGCACCCACCAGGCAGAGCACAGATAGCCCATTGTGTAGCTTTGTGTGCTTAATTACAAACAAACAATCCCACCACGGGTATCGAAACCCGGATTCTAGTATTGTAAGTCCGCAGATATACCGCTGTGCCACTAAGGGGCAGCACCCACCAAATTCCGTATAATCAGAAACAGCATGAACCCAGAATGAACTTGAATTTTTTAGATGCTCCAACAAATATGACGCTGATGTTGGGGTTAATTAATTAAATAAACCAGACTTGTTATTTTAATTATAATTATCTAAACAGATATATATATTTGTCCGTCAGTTTGAGAAGAAGTCTTTCCACGAGTGAGAGAGAATAGATGAAGTACATATAAAAACGGTCAGATGTGACTTAGTCATTAGCGTGCCCAAACTGTGAATGTAGGTGTTCTTAGTATGGCGGCCCGGCCCGTTGTCGCAACAACGCTCGCCGCACCTTAGGGCTATGGGTGCGTTATAAGAGTGATTGTTAAATCTCAATATTCAGTTAGACAAAAGTTGTTTCTGGATAGTGTTTATTAGCTGCCTTTCTTCTGGTCTATCTGCCCAAAATTTTGTTTGTTTGTTTGTTTTTGAATTTCGCGCAAAGCTACACGAGGGCTATCTGCGCTAGCCGTCCCTAATTTAGCAGTGTAAGACTAGAGGGAAGGCAGCTAGTCATCACCACCCACCGCCAACCGAGCATGTTTGGTGGTATGCGGATTCGAACCCGCGACCCTCAGATTGTGAGTTGAGCGCTGTATCCACCTGGCCATGCCGGGCCCTGCCCAAAATTGTGACAAGTAAGTGCAGGTAGCACTTTGTGAAGTTTTCTTAAAGAAATAAATAAGC